GCTCAATGTTTTATTAACAGCATACTGAGTCCATGTGCCATCTACTGGGCATTTCAGATAATGCAGCCTGTGTAACTTCAAGGGCTACAATAGTATTATTCATAATGAGAGCCACCACCAAAACCAAGCTTCTTGTTTTTGACTAAGAAAAAAAGAGAGAGCGAGAGAAAGAGCTGGAAGTTGTACGAACTGTCTCATCCTCATGGAAAATTCAGAGTAGTACAGATAAAGGCTAAAAATGTCAGATGCCTTCCAATGCTCATGGGAGCTTGTCAAAAAGAACTAAAATGGCAAAGATTTAAAGGGACACTATAGTCACCAAAATAACTTTAGCTTAATGAAGCAGTTTTAGTGTATAGACCATGCCTATGAACTTTCACTGCATAATTCATTGCCATTTAGGAGTTAAATCACTTTTGTTTCTGTTTATGCAGCCCTTGCCACACCTCCCCTGACTGGCAGAGCCTGCATAAAAACAAAATGGTTTTATTTTCATTCAGATGTAACTTACTTTAACCCCTTAGTGACCAGACCGGTTTTCAATTTTCTTGCCGTTAAGGACCAGGGCTCTTTTTACATTTCTGCGGTGTTTGTGTTTAGCTGTAATCTTCCTTTTACTCATTTACTGTACTCACACATATATACAGTTTTTCTGGCCATAAAGTGGTCTTTCTAAAGATACCATTATTTCCATCATATCATATAATTGCGGTTCCGCCACATTTCTCCCCTTTCCCAAAAAGACTAACAAGGTATCTGGCCTCCTGTCGGTTAGTGCCTTGGTTCGTCCAGCAACCCACCCACAAAACAGTCAGTAGTGCAGCCCACCCACAATGAAAAGTTACTGCACCTGGGGAAACGTGCAGCCAGTTTTTGTCCAGGGGCTATATCACGGCTTTGTGGGGTACGGGTACTCCAGATCTGTGGGTTGCTGAGTGGGCAGAGACCAGCGGTACTCTGCCCTGATGCCAGCGCTTCAGCTGGAGTAGTCTGGTTGGAGCCCAGCTGTGAAGAGGGGGTAGTAAGCTCCTCTCCCTGGACCTGGTGCTGCTGCTGGAGGGGGAGACAGACTGTCTCCCCTTTTGATAAACAGTCCTGCTGCTGGGGATCTGGACCGGCTACCCCGCACCTCTGTAGACCGGGTGCAGAGACTGCGGTCCCATCTGCCCCATCTGGGAGGATAAGGTTTCCCCTTTGGGAAATAAGCTGCGCTGGGGAAAGGTGGTAACCGGCTCCTCTCCCTCATACTCTCTCCGATGTTGGAGAGGGGGGACCGACTGTCTCCCCTTCCTGTAATACACTCTACCACTGGAGAGAGAGACCGACTGTCTCTTCTCCCCATAACTCGTGCTGCTGTTGGGAAGTGAAATCGACCGTCTCCCCTTCCAATAACATACTCAGCCGCTGGGGAGAGAGACTGTCTCTTCTCCCAGTAACACAGGCTGCTGCTGGGGAGAGAGACCCACTGTCTCTTCTCCCAATAACTCACTTGGCCGCTGGGGAGAGATACCGACTGTCTCCTCTCCCAAGGATACATACTGCCGCTGGGGAGGAAGGGCGACACACTTCTCTCCCTGTAACACACTTGACTGCTGGGGAGGGAGACCGACTGTCTCCCTCTCCTTGTAACACACTGGACTGCTGGGGAGAGAGACTGCCTGTCTCCTCTCCTTGTAACACACTGGACTGCGGGAGAGAGAGACTGCCTGTCTCCTCTCCTTGTAACACACTGGACTGCTGGGGAGAGAGACTGCCTGTCTCCTCTCCTTGTAACACACTGGACTGCTGGGGAGAGAGACTGCCTGTCTCCTCTCCTTGTAACACACTGGACTGCTGGGAGAGAGAGACTGCCTGTCTCCTCTCCTTGTAACACACTGGACTGCTGGGGAGAGAGACTGCCTGTCTCCTCTCCTTGTAACACACTGGACTGCTGGGGAGAGAGACTGCCTGTCTCCTCTCCTTGTAACACACTGGACTGCTGGGGAGAGAGACTGCCTGTCTCCTCTCCTTGTAACACACTGGACTGCGGGGGAGAGAGACTGCCTGTCTCCTCTCCTTGTAACACACTGGACTGCTGGGGAGAGAGACTGACTGTCTCCTCTCCCAAAGATACACACTGCCGCTGGGGAGGAAGGATGACACCTTCAGCTCCCTGGGATACATACTGCCGCTGGGGAGGAAGGATGACACCTTCAGCTCCCTGGGATACATACTGCCGCTGGGGAGGAAGGACGACACACTTTTCTCCCTGTGATGCATACTGCCATTGGGGATCTGGGCCAACTGCCCAGCATCCCTGTAGGGCCGGTAGAGAGACCTCAGTCCCATCTCCACCTGCCAGCTGGGTGTCTTCCCAGGACAAGTCAATAAGGTCTTCCATCTCTGGGGCTGGTTGGGACGTATGGGGTACAGTATCCAGGTCCCCTGACGACAGGCTTGGTTGCTAGGGAGGAGGAACTAAACTCAATGCTTCCGGTGGTATATAGTCAATAATCCCCATCATGTCAGAGACAGGCGGCGTAGGCAAACATAATCCTGTTCTAGTTCCCACTGCCGGTTGCCTAGAAAAGATAGATCTGGCTGAATGGCATCGATCTCCGTAAGGTCCCAGTTGTCTGCCCGCTCAGCTCGGATGGACCAGAAGCGAGCAATGTTGGTGGCTCCGACAACAAACCAGGACCATCGTAGTCTTCCCCATCAATACACTTGTACTCGATCAGCCATGGGTAGAGGTGGTAAGCATGCCACCGCAGGGCCCGATAGGAATCATCCAGCCACACCTCAGTCTCAACTAGCGTCTCCAGTTCGCTTACCCATTCCTCTGAGGGCTTGTTTCCCAATAACGGCATCCGCAGCTCTAGTTGTTCTGCTTGGCGCTGGTTAGTGGTCGGGATTTCCTCGCACCGAAAGGGTCAAATTCCGTCAATGTCCTCCTTCCAGAGATCGGTACGAAGCGCCACCCTCCACTCTGTCTCTCTTTCCTCTGGGATAGGATACTCCATACTGCGCATCCCATCCTGTAGTCGCTGCTGGAGCCTGGCGTCAAAGTGAGATGCTGCACACCTTCCATCTCTGAAGTAGTGCTGGTTTTCCCAAGGCTAGGAAGCCATCCCACCGCTTGCCACTAATGTAACGGATAGCCTGGCACCCCGACTGGGTACCTGCGTTGATGGATGCTCCTAGCACTTCCTGAGGGCTCCAAGTACTCCAGCCGACACTATAACCACCATAGACTCCTTCAGAGAGCAAGACAGGAACAAGCTCTTACAAGAGCTCAGTGATTATAGCAAGGGAATATACAGAGCATATAAATCCCTTGTAGCAGATTCCCCCAATAAGAGACAGGACTCAGATTGAGGGTGAAGTAGAACTGTCTAAAACTTTATTTTACTTGGGACTAGCCCATATGGTCATTACATTAACATTGCTGTGAAAACTCAATAAAATTACAAACAGTCAAATCATAGCAGGCAACATACAGTGACTTATTATAACAGAATAGCATATTTTTAAAGAGGTGGGAGAGACAATTTTTTGTGTTATTTTTCTCTCACATTGTACTTTAGGCATGGATTCTCAGTTCATGTTATGTGTTAATGCCCAAGAACACCATAATATGTGTTCAACAACATCTCCTGAGTACAACAGTGCCCCCAATGTACAGGTTTTATGGGTTTTTGCAAACTTACAGGGGAAGGGCTTTCCCCTTTTCCATGTTTGCACATTGAAATTTGCCAGATTGGTTTGCTGGGCCTATGTTGCCTTTGAGACCGTATAGCAGCCCAGGAATGTAGAATAACCCCATCATTGCATACCATTTTCAAATGTAGACAACCCAGGGTATTCAAAATGGGGTATGTCCAGTTTTTTGTAGTAGCCACTTAAGTCACAAACGCTGGCCTTTTTTTTTTTTTTTTTACTTAGTTTTTTTACCCCAATTTATATTTTATATAATACGTGTGTGTGTGTGTGTGTATATATATATATATATATATATATATATATATTTATTATTTCCTATATATGTATAATATATTATGCATATATAATGCATATAAATGATTTCATTATAAGTGTATTTTGAGATATGTGTATATATCTCAAAGTACACTTATAATGAAATCATATATATATATAATAGATTATAAAATGCTTTAATTATTTTATACATATATAATACAGACACTCCTCACTTACCGACTGGGTCCCGTTCCTAGGACCCGGTCGGTAAGTGAAGAATTAAGGGATTCCCTGCTCTGGTGCGTTCGTTTATGTTCGGGGAAACTTCTCCGAACATAGACATATGTACCAGAGCAGGAAATCCCCACGACTGCTCTCACTTACGCCTGGTCATAAGTGTGAGCCGTCGTAAAACAGGTAGGTCGCTAAATGAGGACCACCTGTGTATGTATAATATATTTATTTTATTTTTTTACTTTTAAGTAGCCTGGGGGACTGCCTGAAAGCTCAGACAGTCCCCCTGCTGGCAGCTCCTAGAGTCCTATTCCGGCGATGTGATCATGATGATCACATGGCCCTGAAAGGCCGGGGTGGCCATAGCTGCTGCAGGAAGACTGTTGGGGTCTCCGGCAGTGCCCTCCCGAACATGATCGCCACGGATCGACGGTCCAGGTAAGTCCAGGGCTCCTATTTGCCGTGGACGTACTAGGTAAGTCTGCGATCCTTAACGACCGTTTTTTGTCAGACATACCTAGTACATCCATGGGCGTAAAGGGAATATACATAGATATATAATTTCATTCTAAGTGTATTTTGATATAAATATATATATTATCAAAATACAGTTATAAATGTAGAATAAAATGACACATATATATATGTGAAAAATTATTTTACAGTTTATTTTTTATAATATATACATACAATATATATATAGTTATTACATATATTATATAACTGATTATATCAAAAGGTTGCACTCACGGAATCAGTAAAAATTAACTTTTATTCAGTATTCTTAAAAAAAAAAAAAAAATAGACATTTCAGTCCTACTTGAGGACTTTCATCAGGATTATATGAACGGTTCATATAATCCTGATGAAAGTCCTCAAGTAGGACTGAAACGTCGATTTTATTTAAGAAGACTGAATAAAACAAAATTTTTACTGAATCCGTGAGTGCACCCTTTTGATATAATCAGTTGGATACTTGGAGCCGTTGGAGTGCACCCGGTCTGGGAACTGGAGTTTGAGTGCAAGGTACAGTGTTTTTATCTATCTATATATATATATATGCGCACACACACACACAGGTGTGTAATTTTATGTATAAATATATTAATTAAAAAATGCACTTAGTATGACGTTATATATAGAAGATATATATACATATTACACACATACACACACACACACACACACACACAGGGGTTAATTATTTTAAATTTTATTATAACTGAGTCCCTCGACCCCTCAAGGCACTCCATACAGGCAGAGCATCGGAAGCCTGCCTGAAGGCTTCCGATGCTCTGCTCCATACTGCCGGGTGCCACGTCCGGGGAGAGCGTTAACTGGGGTGCCTGGCAGTGTGGGTGGTATTACACGACGCCTCAATATCGAGGCATAGTGTAATGCCTTTTAGAGCGTCTGGAAGCGATCACGAACGACTGGTCCAATGCTTGGGACACAGATCTATTCCGCCCAGCATTCGCACTTTTCAATAGCAACAGAAGGTCTAAAATATCATGCTTAATCTAATGAGCATGCGTTGCTCGGGGTATGACAGGTGCACTTTAAAACAGACGTAATTATATTTGCTTACAGCGAAAATGTTTGTTTCACCAGAATCGATTTGTCAAAAAAAAAAATCAATTAAAAAAATCCAAACACAATTAAAAATAGTTGTTTGGAAAGTCCACTGTCCAAATGAAAAGAAAAAATAAGAATTAAAAAGACACTGTTCAGTAGATATATCCCTATCTAAAAATAGGTTGCAAACGCTGCAGATTTCTTGAAGCATTTGAAATCACTCCTTTTCTAAACTAGGCCAAGCTTTCTGTGGCTGTCCATTTACAGATGTTCCAATGCAGCTAATCTTTGCAAAGCAGGTGCTCCAGGCAATTTCCTCCTTCTTGAGTAGAAACAAGGTAAATTGATTGACAGCTGAAGTTAATTGATGAACGTGTCAATTTCTATTAATATTTGTAAAATAGAAAATAAAAAAAAGATACATTTGACACAGATGATTTTAAAAAAAAAAATTGAAAGGAAAAAGTGAGTGGGCAGTTGACAAACCACTCATGTCTTCCACCCCAAGAACAACAAAGCTTTCCCACACATCCAGTCTTTAATGTGAGTGACTGTTTTTCTGTGTGGAAAAACAAAAAAAAGCTGTGGCCCATTAGCTTACATCAACTGTGTCTGCTGAGGTAACAGGCAGGCTCACACAGCAAGACTCAGCTAGGCAGGGCAAAAATCACTACAATGAAAGGCATTTAAAAACATTACAACCACCACCACCACCACCAATTTCAAAATACTTTTAAAAATTCAGAAAAACAGATTTCAACTTAAAAGGACACTGTAATCACTATAACAATCATCTCTTTGAATTGGTTATAGTGCCTGGAGTGCCCTGGCACTGTCCCTCCACTCAGTGTTGCACCATGTTCGTGCAGTATGCCACCTACAGTCCAGCCCCTTCTGTATGTGTAGCTAAGGCAGAGATTACACACTTCCTTGTTGTCATACCCATTCATACCGTCAGTTGGAGCTCTGACAGGCTGAAAGCAGTCACCTGACACTCTCAGCCAATCACAGCTGTCCATTGCTGCTCAGGCTAATACTTCCTTATTAGCCAAAGCTGCACAGATGGGATGGACTGCCGGGGACTCTTGTTTAGCATTAAAACATAAAAACATTAAAAACTGTTTAATGCTGAAAGAAATTATGATACCAAGGGACTCCAGACACTATAACAGGGTTAATGAGATGAAGCAAATACAGTGCCTATGGTGTCCCTTTAATGCAATTTGCATCTGCAGTGGAAGCAAGACAAGTCAGGCAGGGTGAAACCACTACAATGAAATATTTTTTTAAACAGGGGAGCAGCAGCAGGAGTAATTAATTTGCAAAAAGGGAACGTCTTTTTAAAAAAATGAACGGAAAATGTGAGTGGATAATGGCCCACTCACCATTTCCACCCTGATATATTCAGTTTCACCATATGGCCATATTGTGTAAAGCCCATCATAATGGATCCCAAATCAAATAAATAAAATATCAGTTGTGTAAAATTTTATAATTTTGATAGTGTTCAGATACAACAAACACTTATTTGTTTACTTTTTAATCCAAAAAACGAATGCTTTTGTCTCATTGAGTCAGAATAGGAAATTGCAATTTTGGTTGAAATTTGATAATTTTCACTACACTTTTTAAATGTTTACAAAATCCGGTGTTTAGTAACCTTGGCAGGCTATCTTTCAACCCCCACATGTACAGCCATGGTAAAACCAATCACGGTCTCCCTCAACCGCTGAAATCAAAGTGGCTGAAACAATGCTGCTTGGAAATATATAGACTTTTTCCTCCTTTTTACCCACTATTGGTCACTTCTCACCTGCTCTGTG